TCTGCTAAATCTTTACTCCCTCAAAGATATAACAATCAAAATCAACATCAGTTATGCACATTGATTTACATTTTTTAAAAAACACAGAAGGGCTCTTCATTTGACATCATCTCAAATTCAATATTAAATTCTGGAAGTTTTTTCATCTCACTTTACACTCCTAATATCCAAAATACACATACTTAAAATGGGAGCACCATGCTATCTTGGAATCTATCTTATCATGATTTCCCGTCATGGAATTTCTTGCAATTTTGCCCTAAGTATTTAGCACCCACCACTGTCCAGAACAGATATTTGAAATTAATAGGTCTCTGGTCCAAACTAGTAAACCATGTTTCATTCATTTTTTTTTTATCTCTCTTACAGAATTAAAGAACAAAGATATCCACAAACCTCTTTCACCAACTCATCTTCATAGAAATTGAATAGACAGCTCTGCTTCAGCAGTAATCCAGAAAATAATTTCACGTTGAGAAGTTACATGTTAAATTTTATTTCTCCAGATTCTAACAGAGCAATATTGATGCATAATATTTTCATTTAGCAAGCTTATAAAAAATAGATCAAGAAGTACAGATGCATGTACCATTTTAATTGCTACAAGAATGGAAACATAAACAACCAGAAATTACTAGTATTTATTAATGACATAATTAAAATAAGTAATAAGAGCATGAACTGGTTGTCCTTTATTGTAAAACCTTTAATGATAAACTTGCACTAACAGGAGGGTGTATTGAAGCATACATTCCTGAACTCACCTCAGTTCTACAAATTATCTTTCTTTAACTGAGTTGTTTACACTTGAACTCCATATTCTCCATTTTTATTTCCTTTTGGATTCTTCTTTTTACTTTCTTTAGACTCCACCTCTTTTGGATTATTTGCATCTTGGATGCAAGGATGACCTCAAGCCCTCAATAAATAGCTTCACAGCTTCCATTTAGAAATATTCTAACCCTGTCCAACTTACTATAGCCAAAGTGCTGTATTATTATTGTTATTCCTGATCAGATCACACTAGCTATTTTTTCTGCTTTAACTGCTGTACAGAAGACAATCCCCCCTCCCTGTTTTAGGCCACTAAAGACTCCTTTTGATTCTTGCCTCCCGACAGTATCTTATGTCAGGCAGAACACCCCTGACGTTTCAGCTTCTTTGGCCATATTGTTATAAACCCTTCACTGATCATTTCATGCTTTCAGTACTGCAATCTTTCCCTCTCCACAGAACGTACTTTGTCTTTTCTTGGGCTTTGGTAGTTGGGGGGGGGGGGGGGGTGTGTGGTGTGTGTTCTCATCAGGTAATTATACGAGTGCATTCATGAAAGCACTCAAACAAAATATCCAAGTATTAAGCAATCTATCCAAAAATCCCACACAAAGCCGTAAATTCATGCTGTTAGCTTTGGGTGACATTAGATGCAGAGTAAGATGTGAATATTTCAAAAACATCAAATTATTCTGTTTCTGCCAAGAGATTCCTTCAGGAAATTACTTGATGCAAGATCTACATGTGCAGGTTCTTTGGAAACAAGAAAAACCTATGTAAATACTGAACAAACAAGAAGTCTGTCTTGCTGCTTGTGTCAACTCATCATTAAAAAGAATCATGTACACGTGGTGCAACAGATGCTTCCTGAGGCAGATAGCTCTCACAGCACATGACTAAAACCTCAGTTAGCAATACATCCTCCCTTTCAGTTACCCTTTGACAGCCTACCTTTTCAAGCCAGTTTAAAAAAATTGCAATCTTTTTTATGTTAATAATAAAGTAACAATACCAGGAGCTAGATTTTATGGAAACATTCATATTAGGCTGTCCTAACAACAACTAGAAGTCTTTTTCCATATCCTTTTTCCTCTTCTCTGCTGTACCATACCCTGACTCTACAGAAATTAGTAACTGCACAGTAAAGCATACTCTACAACACAAATTTATTATCTAAATCACTTTTTTTTCTTCAAGTTATGCGTCTTGTTTTGAAGTACATAATTCTACACTGAAAATTCAGAGGAAGTATTAGAAAACAAGATAATTCCTGAATGAAAAGATACAAACGTATGAGTAGCTATGACAAAACCTCTTTTTTTCCAAGTATTTTGTTGTAAGTAGAGTTAGGAAAGTATGTTCTAGGGAACTTAAAAGCTCGAATTTTTTAATCTGCATAAATCTCTTAAATTACGCCATCTAGTCTAACTTGAGTAGCACACACCAAAGAATAAGGGGAAAAAAAAAAATCTTACCAGTTCATAGTCAAACTAGAGCCCCTCTATCTTCCTTAGAAGACTTCAACAGATCCTTTGTGTTTAAACGAATAAGAATTCCCATGCTAAAAATTTAGTTCAGGTTTCCCCACATCCATTTCATGAAGGTCAAATATGAGCTTCTTTCCAGCCCTCACAATGTAGATCCAAAAGGATTTCAGTATCAGAGAATTTTGAGGACATAGTTTATTTTATCAGTTCAAATTGTCTTATATCATAAAGAAACTCTTCCTCTACAGAATGGTTTTATGCGAGACTTCATTTTACAGAGGAAAAGCTGCAACAAAGCAGGGCAAGAGGAACATTATGAAAAATAATAGCATGAAGATGAAAAGTCTGGAATCACTGTTGGGATTTCTCAACAGGATTAGCAAATTAAAATAGTTAAAATAAATAGTTCAACACCTTCAGCTCTTATTAATAAATTATTATGAGATGGGAAGGTAACAAGAACTTCCTTTCTTGGTCTATTATACACCTGTAATTTGTAACACTGTTTTAGTGCTGGTAAAACAGCAGAAAGTTATACTTCATCACATTTTTCCTGCCAAATGAAAAGTGGATTAATATCTAATCAACATAGCCAATATAATACTCTTCTAGGACTCCTGCAAGCAAAAACCATGCAGCATGAAACAGGAAATCCATTAGCCTGCTGTTAAGTAAAATCCTTCTATTTCATGTAAGCTTTACTTCTAATAAAGCTTTTTTTAATTATCAGTCCTCAGTCTTAGTCAAAACAGGCAGCACTCCCCACTGTGACCAAACAAATAAAACCTGGCTTTGAAAAAGTGTATATTAGGACATACTGAGTATATATTCAGACTTACTGTAATCTGGTAACTATGTAACTATGTTGTTAAAATGCCAGATCTTTCAAGTTTCTGGCAAAGATCCACTAAGGGCACTACAACAAGAGCTTATGGATTCCTGTAAGAATTTCCAAATCAATTCCATTTCTCATAGATTTCAGACTTGGTTTTTATATCTCAGAAGAAAGCACTCTATGCAAATACACACTCATCACTGATTTGCATGGTAAATATATGTAGGAAAAAGCTAATTTGTGGGGGATTATTAAATATTTCTTCAATGATTAAAAATGAGCTAGAGAAAAGGGCTACATTTCAGTCATCTGATTTTAAGCTCAGTGAATGGTCTGACTATACAGTTTCACTCATCTGTTACCCTAGCTATAACAGTATCCCTTTTGAATGCTTCTAGTTTCAGTCATTTTAAGACTAACTTCTGTTACCTGGGTTTATCTTGACATTCCTGTGCAACAGGAAAAAACTTGAAAGTCAGATATAAAGATGGGGCACTGGAAACCAGGAATGACCTTTGGAATACTAATAAAAGTTCTGAATGCATAAATGTTTCAGTGGGTTAGTTGCTTTTGGTTTGTTTTGGTTGGTTGGTTGGGTTTTCATAGATTTGTTATACATGAATGTAGCACAAGTATACACAGATGTAGCACAAATCAAGAGAATCACACAGTACAGAGAAGTTCCTCAGGAAGCTCACACTCCACCACAAACATTTCAAACTGCAGACTGGACTGTTCCTGTCCCATACATTAATGACAGTAACTAAAAATTCTGCAATAACAGAGCTAGACCATTTCCAGTGACTGAACTTCCTCACCATGACACTCCCTAAGGTACAGACCAGATTTCTTCCTCCAAAGTTAAAGGGTCCATTATCTTATCCTGGACCACTCTCTCTATTGCACTGTATTCCTTCACAAAACTCCTGTAAACCAAGCACTGTTGGTGCTGTTTGTACAGTCACACAGAAAAGTGACTAGCTTCACATTATACTTGACAATTATAATTCACAACTGAGCTTATTTAGAGAAAGCAATCTTCCCTGAGATGTTAGTAAAAGAGGGAAGAGTAATCAGGGCTAGATTCTTCTCCTGCTCACCTCCAGTGAGAATGGGCTTCAGAACCACATGACAATACCCTCATTTTTAGGAGACAGGAGATGAGGGGACATCTTCGCTCCCATTCCATACTCAAGCCTGTACCTGACAACTGCCAGAAATCAAAAGCAGTAAGAAGAATGGAACTACAAGAATATTTCCATTCTCACCTAGTAATTTTGAAAATTCCAATAGTAAAGTTGAGTATGCACAAGGGCAAGTTCTTTCCCAAGACCACCAGGAGCCTGCCTACCGAATTCATTTAAGCACTATCACAAAAACACTTCATGCAGGTCTGAATAACCACCTTTAGTTCATAGGACTTCACCTAGCAATCTTAACCTACAGCAGGAGGTGCTTACAACTTGCCCATAAACCATAAGCAAAAAAACATAAGAAAGCTTTGTAGACTGTAACAAGTATTGTTTAGCACCATGAAATGCCTGGAATAGATCTAAGGTAAACAGGAAAGCCGAGCAATACCTTAGGCAAGAAAACCTTGGAACTTAGAAGTTAAAAGGTGACAGATCACATCAACCCTTGGTTACCTCACTACAAGCTAAATCAACACTGTTTCTCTACCTCTTACACTTCCTTTAGACTAGAACAATGGACAATAATATTCCATTTTAGACAATTCTAGAAGTTAAGCTGTACTTCCACATCTGGCTATGGGAAGGGCTGAATTAAAAAAAATCAGCAATGACTACTCAAGTGCAGGAACATAAAAGAGCAGCTATATAACATGGAGGTGGGGGGAAGAGACAGACTTCACGTTTGTGCAAGTGAAGGTTTTTTCCTCCTACCTCATCACTTTCATCTACTTCAATACCACCATCTTTGTCATCATCCATTTGCTTATGGATCATGCGGAGAGCTTCTAGGCTGAACCGGTCCTCCTCGGTAAAGCACGGTGGGCTGAGGGAACTGCACGGATCTAAAGGGGGGGGGCGGAAACAAAACAGAAATATTAGCTGCTGGCACTCCAGAATACAAAGCAAGAGAAAGGGCTTAAATTTCTGTATTGTACACATCATTTCACACAGCCACCAAACCACAGACATCAAATTTACTTGTAAAATAATAATTCCTTCCCAAAAAGTGAAAGGGGGAGTAAGGGCAAAATCAACTTTGGTTTTTTTTAAAATCCAGGAAGGAAGCCCAAAGAATAGGCTGAAGTAGCTTGACTCTTGGATTTCCTTTTTTTTCTCCCCCCCCAGCTCCTGCAACTGCAATCTCCACCTTTTCTTCTGTCATCCACCCTCAGTAATATTAACACTGGAACAGCAAATGAAGGCACTGCGCTTTCCAACCTTCCTTCTCAAAGCCTGGGCTAAACAGAGAGATGGGGAGGAAGAGCAAAAGAATTGTCACATCCTAAAATCACAGCTTCATACACAGGTAACAAAGGGATGGCAACCACACTGCAAATGAATTTAAACAGGAGTACTAAATGCAAAATATTCAAGGAGAACCACAGAAGAAGAAAGCACACTGCTAAGAAAAATCAGCTGATATAGTACATGCTATCTCAGTCCTGTATGCTTTGACCAAAACCAGTAGTCACTGTGGAGCAGAAATCCAGGTCAAAAATGACAAGTTTTCATTTGCATTCATTACTGAAGGCTCAAAATTTGTGCACATCTGATGGCTCTGTTTCCACCATGTCAGATTGTTGTATCTCTGTTCTTTCCCTTCCACAAGGTACATGCCAAATGCTCCAAAATTCTAGAATGCATCATGATCAGCCATCATTAAAGACTGGTCTTTCACAGACTGTGGCATTAACTAATGGCTACCTATTTAATTAATTCTGATGTACCAAAATCTATCAAAGAACAGAAGGTGAAGAAGGATACAGAAATTTTTCAAAGGTTCCGTTTTACTAAGAGAGTGAATTCCTACCGTAACAGGCATTATAAAAATGCACTGAGGTGTCCTATAAACTGGTACACCCCAATCATATCAAAGCAAATACAAATTGAGGCAGCATATGAGTAATTTGTGCTACTTCTAGTCTATTAAAGGATTAAGCTTTCATGTTACTACAGAATTTATAAAAGGCTCATTTATAAAAGTAATGAAAAGGAAGCACATGTAGAAATGGATAGGATCAAGAGTTTGCAACAGAAAGAGTTTGCATCTATTGGTTTCGTATTTCCATAACAATTGAATTGGCATTATTCTGCTTTTATTTCTATTATAAATTTTAAAATAATCAAAAACAATGGTTGCTGATAAGACTCAGCTTGCTTAAGGCTACAAAGCAGAAGTACAAAGGTAGCAACCGCAGCATAGCTGGAACCTCAGACACGTTAACAGGACTGATTCCCTACAGACATAAGTCAATGCATTCTTGCTTTATGCAACAGTTTTATTACACAGAACTTGACAGTTATATCATCTGTGCCCATGTAGCAATAAAAAAAAAAAAAAAAATAAAAAAAAAAAAAACCACACACACCAAACCACACACAGAAAAATCACACAACCAAACACCATACTGAAATTGTCCCAGACAGAGAGATGTTTTTTGGAACTGCCTCATAATTCAGAAGGGCAAATTACTAAACATTACATCAGGCTAATCATATACAATTTTCAGCTTTGAAATGCAACTAATATTTTGTGAAAAAACAACCTACCGGTATTTTTTTGCCTGTCTTTGTTTCATTAGAAATTATTTAATTTCCACAATACACAGCATTTAGATTTTTGCCTTGCAATGAAAAAATTATTGTCCTTGGGGGGGTTAAAGGACTTATCCCTGTAATACAGTACTTTGTGTAGAAAGGCTTCCTTTACAATAGTAATGAATAACCTCAAAGTTCTGCTAATAATTAAATTCCAGTGGCCATGAACAAGGAATATGACACTGCTTAAATGCAATCACATATCAGAAGAACCATGTTTTAAGTTCTAAGAAAACGTAATTGTCAGGACAGAAGAACAAGTCCCTCAAACACACCCAACAGTCCTATTGTTACATAGAAGAAAGCATCAAATAAATAGCAGTTTGCAAGCACTCACTCAAATTAATTTTCCATTTTGTTCAGCTGAAAGCCCAGCTTTTCAAATCAAAAAGCTTCTCAGAGTATTTTTTTTTTTCCAAAACTGAGGTTGATCAGTATCTTAATTAGAGTACCCGTTTATGTTAAATATGTTCTTTTCAGTTATTTAAGCATGAAGGCACTTTAGAGAGCTATGGCTCTTCTTGAGAGAAGTAAACAGGCTGCTGCGCTAGCTCCAGGAACACTTGATCTCTCTCTGTAGAGACGATAGAGTTCCAATTGCTCCTTTTGGGACTGAGAAACATTGAGTAGGACCATGTCTCAACTGTAATAAGCACTAACCCACTCTAAACAGAATCCAGAGTTATCTTCAAACTTATTTTCATATGGTACAATTGAACATTCCCAGAGTGACAAAACTTGTCATCCCCCTCTTCAGCAAACGATCTCCAAACAACAAATTACAAAGCCACAACCTAAAGGATAAATAAAGATAATTTCACAAGTACTTCTGTGAAGCCCTACATAAAATTAAAAGCTCTGCAGATGATTTAACATGCTTCGCTTGCATGGCAGAAACCATTCAAACTACTAAATGAAGTATGGTTAGAAACTCCTCAAACAGCCAACTAAGCTAAAAGACAAGAGGAAAACTCTCAAGATACGGTAAGTCCCACAAATTTAGACCTGAGGACCCACAATAAATTATAAGGTTAGCTGATAATTTAATTTTCTATTTGGATCTGCCCTATTGAGGGTGTTTTGGGACTCCAAATCGTCTACTGTACATTGACAACTTAATGTCTAGACCAATTTCTCTGTCCTAGTCTGGTGTGCTGTCATGAATACACTTAGTCCTAAATCATCATCACGGGAAAGAGCACAGCGATGATACCAAGAAGCTCATTCAGGGAGTGAAGCTAGTAGCTTAGAATTTGACCCCTCCTTTAACAAACACCACAGACAAATTAGCAAACAACAAAGATACAGCTTAGATGAGGTGGACAAGAGGCATACAAGCACAGCATATGTCACTAGGCAATGGTATTTTACAGCCCTGTTTTTAATTTTGGTCAGAAGTGAGGAAGTTTCAGGAATTCTGGTCACGATAAGGAGAGAATTTGTTACTAAAAAAATCAATGTTGATTTTGCGGCTTAACAAACTTGGGAGAGGCTTTTGAACCAAACCTTTCTCCTGCCTTGCTCAAGTAGCTCAGTAACTGCCTCCTAGCTATGAGGCAAGAGGAGAAAGTGGTCTTCACCAGTGCAGGGAGATGCACAAAGCTGTGGGTACATACCAGTCACACAGGAGGCAGTTTAATAATGAACTATAGTTATCCAACCCAGTATGCAGGAAACTTTGCTTTTAATTTACAAACACTGAACCCCTTTCCCCCCCCCCCCCTTTTTGTCTCTCTCCTTTCTTTTTCAATGAGGCTAAAATAAGGTGAGACCACAAGGAAAAAATTTCAGTTTGAAACTCTCCTAAACTTTAAAATCATGTCTTTTTCATCCCATTTACTGAATGAAGGCAACCAGAGTTCAAGTGACACTGTCAACACAAGCCAGCAAGGAACATTAATTACAGCCATATCTTCAAGCATTCACGTCACCAAAGCCCTAGAAATTTATTTTAGGAATACATCATTAGAAATTATTCCAAAGCAAAAGGGTATGTGCACCTCACAGTCGTCTCACCTATCCTGCTTCTACTTTTCCCTGAACTGCTGTGAGTGTAAAAGACTTCAGATTGAAAAGGACTGACAGACCAACGGACAGCTAATAATCCTGCAGCCATCTCACATGGATGTCCTTTTGCCTATGGACGCTGGAGCATAAAAGTCACACCTGTGCCCAAGCCTGTGACCGGGGGACCCTTGCCAGGTGTTTACAGTTCCAATCTGGCCTCCTAAGTCTCTGAGCCCTTAAGTCTTTTCGATGTCTCAAAGAGCCTTTTTCAAAAATACAGCGACACAAAACATTCATGATTTTCAGAGGCACCTGGAACCAGATACACATCTCCAATTTTACAATTTAGATGTCTTCACATTTCCACATTAGTTCAGCTCAGAACTTAGTGCTCAGGAGTTATTTGGAGAGACTGGCTACTACACGTCATTTTTGTTCTGTGAGGATGTTCAGCATTCATACAGAAGGAAGAGGACTTTTTTACACTAACATATGGCGCTCCTGTGGAAGCCCACAATGCTTCCATGAGTGCCTTTTTTTGATGACTTCAGAAGTGTACCACGTTCTGCTAGTTTTATGATTCCTCACTCCTAAGAAGCCATCTGGGATAAAGGAAAAGCCTCACAAAAAAGGCAAGCACTATATACAAGTGGCAGCTTCCAAAGTACATATATTCAGCTCTAAAATAACTGCTTCATCAAGGAATTATGACAGAAGCAGAATTTCTTTGCATTTTCCAGAGCCAAAGCAAGTGGCCACAACAGCCTCAACTCCCTACCAAATGTGTATTAAACCTATTTAGAATTTCTATTTTTTTTTTGTGCTTTAGTTTTAGTCTGTACTTTAATACTGTACAGTTTCTTCATCAATTCGGTACAATTCCTTTCAAGGAAAATTTAAAAAAAAAAATTTAAAAACAACACCTGTAAAAGAACAATTTTAAAATACCTGAATACAAATCTGAGTGATAGGTACAGTAGGGATTATTAAAATTACTGAATAGCAAGTATTTTCAAGAATTTCACCAGATGTTCAAAACACCTATTCACAGTAAAGGAAACAGACATGTTGCTTTTACCTTAAATCCTTACATAAGTTGTCATTAAAATCCTGAAAGGCTTGAAGAGACAGCCTCATAGTGAGCTTCATTTAATCTTTCAATTAAAAGCTCCAAAAGCAAATCACTCCCACTCTTAATAATTAAACTCCTCCATATGGCAAGTAGGCTGAGC